AGATTCCAACTCAAAAAAAAAAAAAAAAAAAAAGAAAAGAAAAGGAAGTGCACTGAAAGCAGACTGAGAAGCCCCTTCTTTCTGCTGTGTTCCTCTGGTGCTCTCTACTGACGAAGTGAAACTGTGCCAGCTGGCAGAGGAGGAAGGTTTACTGGATCCTGCTCCAGTCTCCTAAAGCATGGAAAAGAAGGGTGGATTTGGAGCTAAGAGGCTACAAACTGGTAACAGACACATGTACGGTCTGCTACAGAAACATCATGTGCTTGATTATGGGGTGCTGTTCTAGACCCCTCTGGGGAGTGTTACGCTGTACCTGCAGTCTATGCACCGTTCTGTCTTTGTGCAATCTAAATAATTCTAAATTCTGAACTGGACCTTAGGGTTTTGGTTAAGGGAACAGGGACCTGTTCCACCTTGTTATTATTCCTCCTTGCAAACCTCAGGGAAGAGCTGCCTGAAACACTGGGGAAGTATGCCTTAAGGTCTTCTGCCTTTGTCTATGGCCAAGTCTAATCACCACGGGCATCAAGCCTGAAGCAAGGAGAATCCCTAGGCAATTGAGTTCTTGTTTGAGAAGGGGTGAGAATAAGCTGATAAGCCTCAGCTCAGTCTGCCGGTACCACAGCTTGCATAAGATGTGTATATATTTGACTCTTTAACCCCAGTGAACTCCTGGAATTTGACCCAAAATAGTACTTTTTTCCTTTTAAGTTGGGATATGATTTTGATAAAAGGACAGACACCTTGAATTATCTCCACTACAGTACCAATGTCAGAGGATGCAAACCTAAATACTATACAGGCTAGGCAGGCAACTTAAATGAGTGAAGCATGCAGATAGCAGACAAAAGGGCATGATGGTGACTGTGGAAATCTACAGAGTACATGCTTCACATAAAGATAGCGGGTGCTACTTAATCCCTGCATATTATTGCCATGTATACCAACAGTCAGATATTTTAATTATTCAAGAAAAGCTGGAAATCCAGATTTTATTTATTTATTTTTGAGTTGGAGTTTCACTCTGTCACCCAGACTGGAGTGCAGTGGCATGCTCCCGGCCACCGCAGCCTCTACCTGCTGGACTCCGGCGATCCTTCCGCCTCAGCCTTCCAAGTAGCTGGAACTACAGGTGCGTGCTACCATGCCTGGCTGATTTTTTGATTTATTGTAGAGATGAGGTCTCGCCAAGTTGCCCAGGCGGGTCTCGAACCTGCGGGCTCAGGTAATCCACTCACCTCAGCCTCCCAAAGTGTGGGATTACAGGCTGAGCCACCGAGCCCGGTGAAATCCAGATTTTTAAATGTGAAACTGTCAGATTTTAAAACAATAAAAAAGATAGTATAAGATAAATATATGTATGGGGGGGTCACATTCAGCTTGTGACACCTACCCCATTCCTCTCTGTATTCATACCCTTGTAAGGCCCTTCCCACACTGACTATGAGCTCGGCCATATGACCCATTTTGGCCAGTGAGGAATTACCAAGTGTGGTGCAACCAGGGGTCTGCTAAGCATTTGTTCATTAGGGCTTGTCCTTTTTGAAGCCACCATGCAGAAGCTCAAATGATAAGCCACATGGAGCCCTAGAGGATGAGAAGTCATTTTGAATGAGTTCCCAGGTGATTGCAGCCCTATGAGTAACCTCAGCTTACACCATGTGGGCCCAGCTGAGTCAACCCACACAACTTAAAAAAAAAATAAACTACTCTTATTCTAAACTACTAAGTCTTAGGGTGGTTTGTTATGTTGTAATAGGTAACAGAAACAGAGATCATTTATTCCCTTATTTTTATTTTATTTTATTTTAATTGAGACTGGGTTTTGCTCTGTTGCCCAGGCTGGTCTCAAACTCCTGGACTCAAGCGATCCTCTTGCTTTGGCCTCCCAAGGTGCTGGGATTCATGTGTGACCCACCATACGAGGCCAAAGGTCATTTATTCTAACCCTCTTGTACTAATGACGGTAGGGGTCTGGTGAAATTCAGATAGCATATTAGATGCAATAACTTTCCAGTTCTGTACTCTTTCTTCCTATTGCTTCTCCTTCAATTCCCTTTGTGAAAAGCACAAGGGCTATGAAACCTCAAACTCTATATACTGGAAACTTATACTGTATCTTGAATGCATACAAATTATTGCAATATCTTGGTTCCTAGGAATGGAGAAATTTCCAGATCATTCAGTCCCTTCATTTTACAGGTGCAGAGAATGCAAAAACACTCGAGAAACAGAAAAGCAGCTTCTGACAATTGTAAGTTGGCCTAGTACACGCAGCCAGGCCATGATGTTACTAGACCATATCCTGGTCCTTTTAGCTAGGCCTTGTGCTCTTCTGCAGAACAGCAACAATTTCTCAAAACATCAACATCATTCTGTAACTGTGGTAGATCTAGACAAAAACAAGATCACTCTATATTCATGTCCAAATACAGCTAAATCACGAACATTGTCCAAGCCCCCAAAATGACTAAACACTTCCATCTAGCTAATATGAGAGTTGCCACTTCTTTACCTGTACAGCTCTTTACTTGTACAACAGTGTCAGCCTCAATCTTGCATCCCCTTCCTCCAGGTAAGATTTATTGGCACCCAACCATATTGTGCCATCTCCCTCACTGCAACTAGTAATAAACACAGCTTCTTCAACCATCAGTGCGTTCCTGGTGGGTTTTGCTTAGAGAGCACCGGCTGATCTGAATGCTCACACAGAGTTGAAGGCAGAGTTCACTAGGAGTCTCCTTTCTCAGTCCTTTCTTGGCACCGACCACTCTTCTGGGTAATGTCTGTCGTCCTCCCACTAGAATTAAGCTCCAGGAGAACAGGGGCCTTTTCTGTCACGTTCAGAGCTGATTCCCAGTGCCTAGGTAGGTACTCGACAAAGGCTAAACGCTTAAAAAATAAAGATCTTCTGAATGAATAAGAAGGGCTGGCCATACACAAGTTCCCTTTAATCTCTCGTCTCCTCCCAGATCGCGTGACTACAGACAGTATCACAGCCCATCTCCGTAAACCCCCCCTTTCCCAACGGAATTTCCAAGTCCTCACTCCGGAGGTGCCCGTCCCCTCCCCTGGTCGCACTGCTCCCGCTGCCGGCCTCCCTCCCACACCCGAGCACCTGTTTCCGCACCTAGAACCCACCTGTCTCCACCACCTGTCCCTGACACCAGGCCCTCACGACCAGCCGCGCAGCTACCTACGCGTCAAGCGGGCACTGCGGACATGGACCGCGCATGTGCGGAAACCGGTCGCACACGCAGGCTCTCTGACAAGTGAGGAGTTGCCTCGGAGTTTCCGTCCCGGTCTAGACAGCCTTGGGCTGCCAGGAAGTCGGGAGAAACTAGCCGGAAGGAGAGCCGGAGCGCAAGGCATCCTGGGACATGTAGTTCTGGCGCTCCCGAGTACCTCCTCGGAGTGAGCCTTTTCGCCTCCATGTCTGCACGTCCGGCACTTACAGTCCAGTGCTACTCTCAGTGCAAAGTTCAGCGGCGGGCTGCCGGGACAGACCGGCCTGGCGTCGGCTTCTGGACCCCACAGCGCTCTGCGGGGCCCGCGGCGCCTGCTGGGAGTTGTAGTCCCCGCTCTGCGTACTGCGTTCGCCGAGGGGGAGGGCGGAGCTGCCGGCGGCCCGGGCGGGCTGGCAGCTAGAGTGGGTGCGATAGCCGCCTCCGCC